TTTTTGGCCGGGGGGAGGGGCCATGGGAAAAAAATTTGAGCCGGGGGGAGGGCCATCGAAAAAAAAATCGGCCTGGGGGGAGGGCCACCGAAAAACTTTGGTAAAATATGGCGTCGCGTAGTACCGAATTACAAGAAATACGCCGTAAATCCCCGAATATAGTACGCACTTTTTACATTTTTCAAAATCCCAGAAGTGTCTCGGGCAGTCGCCAAAGTCGCGGTGCGTACTTTATTTGAGTTTTCCGCGGACAAATCCGACACCGGCACGGGGAGCTTGGAACGACATCGATTCGTCCATAGCATGTTTACATTGACGAGTGGAAATAAAGTTAAACTTCAATAAATGAACATATTTCCTGTGATTTTCGTCGATATTGACACCAAGTTGCGGTAAAAGAAGAAGTCAAGTCACCCACGGTAAGAAAATGTAGGTTTCTGGCAATGACGCCCGGCGCTTTGTCATGCCGACAGGATCGTTCCCCAGCTAGCCGGCGCCGATCTCAGTGGAGCCCCGGCAAAAATATAACCTCACGTAAGTACACATACAATTGTAGGGTTTATGAGTGGTAATATTTGAAATGGTCCGCAAGCCGTGAACGTTCTTGATCGTCGTAACGTAACATGTGATAACATAACAGTTGTGCCTCGCCTGATGGTCATCATTTCCACTACACTTCCGGCTTGAGTTCAACTCAGGAATCGTCAACAAAGGTTATGTGCCCGTGTCGTTTCAAAGGTTCAGAAATTGTTAACCTTGTTTCACTTCGTATCATAAATATTTTTAAATCTTGATAGATGCCACGGGAAATTACTTTGTAGCGGGCTACACCAGCCAGTGCGACGTGAAAATTCCAGCTAGATATACCGAGTCCTACTCGACTGTTCGGCAAGCTACAATGATAGGGGCGAAGTTAACTTAAAATGTAGTCTTTGATGAAATCTTACCGCCCGGCCCGTGGGTGGGGTGTTTGGCGCGCCGACAGGCAAAGTATACCTACAGCTGAAGAACGCAGAGAGGGCCGTGGCATGCGCAGCGCTGAGGACAGCTTTCCAGAACATGGACCCCGAGAAGGAAGTCGTTCTTTCCTCTGAACAGACTGTACTTATAAGTTTATTCCCTTGATTTTGTGACAAAAACATCTATCACATAACGAGAGATTACTTGAAACGCAGTCAAACTTGTCACTTTCTCCCGTTCGGAATTGCAAGTCCCATTGATCTCAGTAGTCTTTAGCTGTTGTGTAATTGGTTTCGGTGTGAAATTTTAAATTCAGTAGCACCTCTACACCCAAATACTCCGCCCAGTTCTCCGCCTGTATGATTGTTACTCTCCATGGGTCGATCGGGCGGGCGCTATTATTATAAAGAAGTGTTCGGCGCATTTCGTATTAAAAACATTGAAGCTACGTACTTGTGCATCAACATTCAACTACCCCCCGTTACCGATAGAATCAGTATTTAAATATTGTCTTTTTTACGTTTGCCGCCATGCGGCGGCAAACGTAAACATACGAAAACAATGCTTCCATCAACCCTTCGTTGGGTGAACATTTTCGTTTGGGTGTTGCATTCAATGTTTATCTATTATGTTTGCACTTTTTATTGTGGGATGGACCTACCAGATCACATAAACGCAATTCTTATATGACAAAGTTATCAAAAATTAGACTTGAATTGTCTAAAAAATAATTAATCTGTACTACTGTATGCCCAAAGTGATTCTCAGAAGATTATAAAAATTGACATAATGGCCTTGATGAATGAATCGCATAAATTATGTTAATGTAGATGACAAGTAAAACATTGGGTGTTGCATTCAATGTTTATCTATTATGTTTGCATTTTTTATTGTGGGATGGACCTACCAGATCACATAAACGCAATTCTTATATGACAAAGTTATCAAAAATTAGACTTGAATTGTCTAAAAAATAATTAATCTGTACTACTGTATGCCCAAAGTGATTCTCAGAAGATTATAAAAATTGACATAATGGCCTTGATGAATGAATCGCATAAATTATGTTAATGTAGATGACAAGTAAAACATTTGCGCTCGCGCAACGTCTGTAATTAGTGGACAAATATTCCAACAACGATGTTTTAATTGTGGTCCACTACATTGTTGCTAAGTTTCCACACTAAAGAAACTTTTAAAGTACCCTTTTGCCGAAATATACGCCCTTGGCTGTGAAGAGAGAGAGTATCCGGCCCACCGCCATATTTACTAACCGGAAGATGTACTATTTCACTACATCGCTAGATGTCGCTGTTCATGTTGCTCTTGGAAGCCCCCGGATGTACTAGAGGGCATGTATGGGGGTGATAGTGATTACGGATTACGCAAAATTTTCGCCACCGATTACGAATTAAGTAAAATTCTCAGAGCTATTAAAACTTTATGCATTAAGGCTAATATAATATTACGAATTTCATTGATTTGGATGGCGACTGCCAACGGATTACGAAGACTTAAATGGTCCGATTACGCCTCAGGAAAAAGGGCATGCAGGCTCCTACAACCATGGAGGTAGAAAAAAGGAAAGGAGAGACGACGCAATTAACAACCCGCTGTGCCCCTTTGTTTCCCCCCGCCGCGATCTATTGTCCGCGCGCCCGGCGGGCCCGGCTTTGATCTATAAGTTCATAGCGTGTTTTCGCGGGGTTTTCTATGGAAATGAGCTGCAGCATGACGTCACAAGCACCGAGCTCGGGCCGAGCAGGGCTGAAATGGCTTCGGTTTCCGACGATTCCCATATTTGGAACGCCCGGTAGAGTTCGGCTGACGTCATCATCGAATTCGGCACAAGATGGCGCTCATCTAGATGCTTGAATTTTCGCTGTACGACCAACATGGGTGAGTTTACCGTCATTTTTGTGGGCAAGTCTCCGATTTTAAGCGGTAGAAATATGGATATATTGCTATTATTTCATGTGGCTACAAAAAATTTATGCCGTTTTTCCTCGGAAAGGTTGTGTTTTTTCTGAATAGTTCAAGGCCTGTTCGTTACTTTGTTGTTGTTTCTGGCACCGGACCTAGTCTGGTTTTTCCGGACCAAGGGGTGACTTTTTGTATGATTTTTGGGTCGGCGGGACTTCGGTTCGTGCCCGCGGGCTCTTCGGTCGTGTTATGGATAGTTACGTTTTTCCTAAAGAGATGTTTGGTCGATTTATTTGGGCTCTGTAGTGATATATTTTGCAAGAAGATGAATTACGTATATACGTAGCTAGCATGGCGGTATACCTGATACAAGTTTGCAAATTCTCTACAGTAGAATAATATGCAGTATCGCGAGCAAAAAAATTATAGAGTACTGTTCTTTTCCACCGTGGAGCTTTAATTTTTTGCTTGCTTCAGGAGACTCATTTTCTAGTTCCTAAATTCTACCTTCCACTATTTAATTTTTTAAAGCTTCTTTGGTACAGGTACTAGTATGAGCAAAATTGGTACGAGTAAATATTAGAAATACCCATCTGTATAATTTTTGCAGAGACATTTTCAATGTTGCAGAGAAAAATTAAGCAACCTGCAGACTGAAAACATCAGGCTAGGGGTTCAATAGTGTTATAGAGCTTTGTTGTTTACTACTGATTGTAGTGTTATAATAATGCTTTTGATTTCGTGATTTTGCATGATTGTCTTTTTCAAATTGCATTTAAATCTTTGCCAACATGGCACTTTTGTACATGCACAATTTTTGCTATCAATTCTAGAGCCTTTTAGGAGTTATTCTAGAGCCTTTCCTTCAGGAACTGATATTAATTGTAGTTAAATATGCACCAGAATTTAGACAAGAAACTTGTAGAAATGATACTGTGCTACACATGTCTTTGTGCAATGTTGAAAACAATTTTGTTCATGCATATACATGTACTATATGTATATATATATATATAATGGTCCTGTATATTTCATAGTTTTTGGTTGTATGTTTACTTTTATTGATAAAGTATCCCGTCTGTTTTAATGAGCTTAATACTAATAATGTTATCCTTTTCCAGATCACAAAGAAAACCTTACAAGGGTATGCAGAGTATGTGGCACACGTTTTAAACCCCCGAAAGATCGGAAACCCAAACCTGTGGTAGCATTTCGTGTAGCGATTTTACATCTGTACGACGGTCTTGATGTCACGAATGACGACGTGGACATCCATCCTCCCTGTGTGTGTGAGAAGTGTCGGGCTGCCTTGAGCAAGGTACAGGCAAAGCTTCAAGAAGGAAAAGGGGCAACAACAATGCTGTCTGACAAGCTGCCTGTTTTGATCCTCACACGGAAGACAACTGTAAGATCTGCAACTATAGACCAACAGGCAGGCCAGTCAAAAAACACCCCAGTGCGTTACCAAGGTCTTCTTCAGCGGTGTCACCCGAAATCGCCTCCACAGCTGTACCACCCGAAAGTGCCTCCACCTCTGACTATCTAACTGATGAGGAGATTATTGATGAAGCAACAAAACACGGTTTTGTCCATCTGGGGAATGCTGGGAATGGTGATCTGGTTTTAGCCAAGTATCAAGTCAGGAGCATCAATTTCAAGATCCAGCAACAAGTGAATATCAAGCAAGACAGGACATGGGAGTTGTTTATCCACAACAAACCACTTCCTTCTTCCCACCCAGTACTGTCGCCTCTTCCGCCTGTGATCACAGCACAAACGAAGACAACTTTGTTTCTGGAACTGACGTATACCCACATTTGTATCGGCAACATAGGATACGAGGAACTGTTGGAGGAAAAGAGAGAGGGGATGGAAATCGTCGTTTTCAGGGGGGTGGATGGCAACACCACAGCTAAGGAGGAGAAAGATGTCCAGATGATCACTGAAGGAGGGAAAGTTTACAGCCGGACCATCCGACATGTGGACTGTCATCTGCTGATTCCCTCTGACAGATTGTCCCGCAGATGCTCCACATGTACAGCATACAGCAGTTCACTGCGAGGAATCCTGCACAGGACAAGACAAAAGCACAACATCGATGTGTCACATTCATCAAGAGTGCCAAATAAACATCTGACAAAAGAGCAACTGAAGGCCAAGGCTGATGATGTCCAAAGGGAAAAAAGGGCCCAGAAGACCATCGCCTCAAACGCAAGGGACCGGGTCAGTGAAGCTGTTGAGAAAGAAGGTTGCCATGTCAACGAAAGCCAGCACACCTTTTTGCAATCCATCCTCAAGTCAACAAATCAAAACACACAGTTCCAAGACAACACAGCCCAACAATTCCTCTACCAACAACAACTTGAACAGTCACAACATCACGACGCAAGGACAATGAGGTGGCATCCATTGATGATAAAGTGGTGCTTGGCAATCTTCTACACCTCCAGCGCAGCCTATGATGTCATTCGCAATTCCGGATTCCTTCGCCTCCCCCACCGCACAACACTCCAACAATACTCAAAGTTCGCAAACCCCACTCCCGGCTGCAACCCTGATATAGTCAAAAGGCTGTTAGAGGTTTCTAAAGTCACTGAGCTTCCATCCTGGCAAAGAAATGTAACCCTGGTGTGGGACGAGATGAAAATCAAATCAGGGCTGGTGTACAGCAAAGAATCTGGAGAACTGATCGGGTTCACTGATCTAGGTGCAATTAACAATGAACTTAAGGACTTCGAAAGAAGATGCCGTGAAGAGCAGCATGCTACAGAGGAACGGCCAGACCTAGCAACGCACGTCCTCGCTCTAATGGTCCGAGGTATCTTCACAAACCTAGAGTTCGTGTTTGCCTACTATCCATGCCAGGGATTTAACAGTGACCAGCTGTATCCAGCGGTGTGGGATGGTACCTTCGTGCTCGAGTCTTTGGGATTCCATGTGAGGGCGTTTGCCTCAGACGGTGCTTCACCAAACCGGAGGTTTGTCATGTTTCTGTAGAATAAAATGTGTTGTTTATTAAGATAGAAAACCTTCAACAGTACAACTGTACAGAGATTGAAATAAAGTGCATGCCATTCTCTTCAGTTTTCATCCTTATTTGGTAAGTAATTAACAACATTAAAAATTTAAATCAAGTATGTAGCTGTACTTATGTAGCTACCTCATGACATGAATGAAAAATATGATTAAAGAGGTTGAATTGTTTGACTGCAGGTTCTACAAAGTCCACGGTGATGGTCCACAGCTGGTCTACTGGGCTCCAAACAAACACAGAACAGGACACAAGATATACTTCATCTGTGATGTTCCACATCTCATAAAGACGACCCGGAACAACGTGGAGAATTCGGGTGCTAACAAGAGAACAAGAAATCTGCATGTGAGTCATTATTTTTAATTTCACGTCCAATACTTCTGTTTAAGGATAAACTTAACATTGACAAGTGCATTGACAAAAGTGTAGTGTTCCTGCTTAGGTGTGGGTCAAACTCCTGATAAATGGCCTCCCTTTTATAAACCGCTAACGTTGACTATTTCCCTTATCTTGTAACAGTATAATGGCCAAGACATCTCCTGGAGACATATCATCAGCGTGTACGAGTGGGATCTTGGGCCACAGCGCCTGGCAGTAGGACTGCGTATGCTGCACAAGCTGAAGGCAGACCACATCCACCTCAGTCCACCCCTTCGCATGCGCGTCAACCTCGCTGCACAGGTTCGTATTTGCCTTTTTGTTGTTTCCTGTGTTTGTGACTAATTTCTGGTTTCTTTGAAGATAATGTGAATAGTAACATGGTTTCCAGAACTTACCTTCAATCTGTAATTTTATTGTCTTAAGGATTACAAATTCATTGTTAATGTCATAAGTAACCCCGGCACAGCAACTCAATTTAGATATTAGACATTTGTATGGCACTTGACTGTAACCATGTAATGCATTTGCATTGAAAGGTACATCTATCATATCATTTGCACAGATCCTCAGCGATTCGGTGAGTCGTGCCCTTGCTATGCAAGGGCGCCATGATACTGAGTCCACCAGAAAGCTGATCAGCATGATGAACCGATTCTTTGACTGCCTGAATGTGAAGAACGCCCACCAGGGAGCGCATGCCATTAAGCCCGACCTGGAGCCATATCGTGATGTCGCAGATGTCAGGTTCACGGTATGTGTTACTGTACAATTCTTAATTCTAACTCGAGATGAAGGAGTGATCTCAAAAAGATATGATTTGGTTTCTGAACAACAACCTATTTTTCTAAAATGTCTTGTAAAAAATACAGCATCATACTTTTACACAAGCATGGGAAAAGAGTAGTATTGAAGATTTAGGACTTTATTGTTACAATCTACATGTACAACTTTTGCTCTGCTTTACTTTAGTGGCTTGAGAAAGAGTTCCTGGGCTTCCTACATGACTGGGAACAGCAAGTCCAGGGGACAGCAAACCTGACGAAGGACCAGAGAAACCGCATGTGCCTGTCCAAGCAAACACTGGAGGGTCTTAGAATCACAGGTATGTTTGTCATGGTACCTTACTGCGATAACTGTAAATCAGTGATAAGCAATTTACTGATGCAAGGAAATGGTGTGAGATATACTATTTGCCAATTGAGATTCAGGCCTGGAAATTAATGTCTACATTTTTTTTGTTAGTTTCATCTTTTGTAGAGTTGGCCAAGACCCTGCTTCAGGAGGACGGTGTTTCGTACGTCCTGAGCGACAAGTTCAACCAGGATCCCTTGGAGCAGCATTTTGCCAAGCAGAGAAGACGCTGCGGAGCGAACGAGAACCCTACAGTGGCGGAGTATGGTAGAAATGAGGTGAACATTCATGTGGTGGGGGAGATGGTAAGAGCTGTTCGGGGGAACTGTAGGGGAAGGGCAGGTAATGCACAAATGCCAATTGACTTCAATGACAATGCCCCTCTCCCCAAAAGACCAAGGAAACGATAGTGTGTTTTTTCAAAATCATTCTGTATTATGCAACCACTTGAAGATAACTATTTACATATAAAGTAAGTTCCAGAAATGTTATCTATGATTTACAAAATGTGTTGACAGTGATGTATGAAGAACATTACTGATAGATTGATATCATGTTAGCACTATGTACATTGTACAGCAGCATTGTAATGGATGTACAATACATGTATATTATGTATCAGGCATGAAACAAGTCAATATCTGAAGGTATGTATGTAACTGACTTACTATGTGAGCTCATGTAACTGACTTACTACAACACATTGGTATAGGAGCAAGTACAACTCTAATGCATATACATATATGTATATATACAATGTTCTATGTGCAATAACTGACTTACTGTAACTAGTGAAATAGTATTGCACAAGCACACCTACTAGAAAAAGCATATCATGCTTCACATCTGTCTGATGAGAATGGCAACTGTAAATAATTAAAAGTGACACATTGGTGTGCAAAATGCATTGTAGCAAATACAGATTATATAAGGCTACATCCTACTCCTAGCTACAATGACCTGTATTGTACAGCATCTTTACAGAGGAAAAACAGTAGTCATAGTCTCATACTAGTACAGTAGTCAGCAGTCTGAGGTGTTCAAGGACTTTCTTAGAGACTTTTCACCCTTTTTGGATGTCGCTGCATTGTCTTTGTGTCTCTTTACCAGTATGTAAGCGTCAGCAAATGCTCGGCACCTCAGGTTCACATAGTACACAAGAATCTTCTCTAGTAAGGCTACACTAGCCTTCTCATCAGTGATATTACAGGCAAGGGTGCACCAATACTTATTCACCAAAAAATCTGTCTCCAGTTTGGTTATGATGTCGTTCTTCACTCCTTTGAGCCTATCCTGGCGTAGCTGCTGAGTGTTTACAGTAGATCTCACAACCTTTTCCATAGCTCGGAAAAATAGGTATACCTGGTCAGATACAGTGAACAGCCCACCACGATTGACAGCATTTACCCAGCCTTCTGTGAACTTCAGAAAAGATGTGTGTGAGTGGCTATTACCTGGAACCTTCCATTGGACAAGAAATGCAACATAGAGTTTGGCAATCTTACTGTCGTACTTCTGGTAGCGTTTCAACAAAGCGTGTGGTATATACCCTGCAATATACCGAAGCACCTGCTCTTCAGCATCAGTCATAGCAGTATCATCATTAGTAACATTAGCAGTATTAGGGGGAACATCCACATTGTGTTTCTTTTCCAGCAGGCCCTCAAACATTCTCCCTGTTATGAACTGGTACAACAAATTGCAAGGAGCCTTCCCTAGACTTGACATAAAATTGTCCCACAGTGTGCGGAAACTCTCACTAGAGCATAGCTTGTGGTATGCACTAAACATTGATTCATTACCAGCACTACACAGAACAGAAGAATCTGCAGCAGTTATCACAGACCAGAGCTGAGTGCACAGTGTAGTGATGAAGTTTGTGTGGTCAACAGTTGTGTAAGTGTTCAAAACTTCGGTTGCTGTTCTGGCTGCTATGTTCCCCGGAGTATCTGTACCCAATGTGAGCTGCCAGATGGGATAGGTGGTGGCTTCTTGTAGGGCGTTCTTCAGGAGCTCTGGTCCTTCCTGCAGTGCGTCCTTCTGTTCGAACTTCGAAGTTGGTCTCTTGACTGAAAAAAAAAAGAAAAGAAAAATAAGCATGCAAGTTCTGCTGATGAAAGCTGTCCGGAGGATGATTAACCAAAGTATATGTATTGTAAAGGAAACAGTTCAGCATATCAGTATTTGATATTAACCTTGGAGCTTGCGACGTGGCTTGGTAGTTTTCTCTGCTCCTTTCGGGGTCGTGTGATCAGAAGTGCTGCTGTTGGATGTCCCTGGCTGTGGGGTTTCAGCTGTGATAGTGGAGGAAACAACAAACACAACGACATGACTGGCAGGTAGGGTGTATTAAGGATATATATGCATTTGTACAAACAACGTATGTAGCTTGCAAAGACAATTCCAAGTGCTAGCGTCATCGTGAAAAATAACGCTTTCTACGCGCCCCCCCCCTCCCCAGACCGCGCGTCATGATATGATTAGGACGCAACAAGTTACACAACAACAACAGAAGTTTAAGACCCTATACAGTATATTTTTCGCTAGGAATATTCACTAGTCGTCAACTCACCTGCTTTTGGGTGCTCCTTCGACTTGTGTTTGCCAAGCCAGCCGGCGTTTTTGTACACTTTCCCGCAGACGTCACACTCGTACGCCCCGCGGCCGCTGGTCGCAACGCTAGCGCTGTTTGCTGCAGCGCTGGTTACCGCAGAGCTTTGCTTTTCGCTATCAGAGCAATCGGAAAGGTCGTCTTCAACTCTGTATTCGTCCTCTCGCTCTAATATTTCTAACTCCTCCTCAAAATCGCTAAAATCAAAGTCACTCCACTCGAAGTCGTCGTCTCCGGGACGCGCCATGTTGAAACCGGACGTGAAGACAATGGACTGACGCGGGCGCGCGGCTTGCTATCTATGCAAATCAAGGGTAATTTGCACCTTGACGCGAATTTGACTTTTCACACCCGCTACGAACATCGATGAATGGAGACTAATTGCGTCGTCTCTCCTTCTCTTTTTTACCTCCATGATATTATTCATCACAATATCTGTTTAAGTTGAAAATCATGCTGGAAACAATACCTAAATATTTGTGTTTTTTAATGTACATTATTGCATGAAATGTTTTCAATGTCAGTCTTATTATTCCTTTTTATTTGGCGATTGTGATGCCTTCTTACCCCGCGCCACTGCAGCGCCATTTTTTGAACCGTCTTTTTTCCTGTCTGAACACAGAAACATTTTTTTGTGTGCAGAAATAATTGATGTGGAGTGTTACTTGCGAGTAAGGGTATTGCTTTCGAGTTGTTCGTGAAATAGATGAAAATGCCACCGAAGAGAAGTTCAAGGATAAAGACCCGAGCTAGCCGCAAGAAAACGGTGACAAAAGGTAAGGCAGACAAGAAAGGCTGCAGTGTGTGTGTGTGGGGGGGGGTATTTAGTGGTTACGAATTACGCAAGATTTTCGCCGCCGATTACAAATTACAGCTGATTATCATTATCAAACACGTTAGATCATGAGACAAAGTGGATCATGTCTTCCAAATCGACTGTAACGTTAGGTAAGTGTGGCTTTCTAGTCATGGGGCACTCCATCCATGATGCACCTCTTACCTAGAGAAGTGCTTTCTCTACACAAATTAGTACACATATTATGGAATAACCTACCTTCACAAATAGGTCTGAAGGTCAGAAGCTGTCTGTGGTTGTTGCTCCATTACATATGTTATTACCTGGATGTCCAACCTTCACCGACGTATCTCTTTCTTTGATTTGAAGAACCCCGTGGAAACTCCTCATCTGAAGAGACGGATCCATCCAAACTGACAGATATCATCACCAGTCCGTCCAAGACGTGCAGGGTTAGTATTAACATTAAGTTTCCTGCTCTTATATTTTGAACATTCTTCTGACTGGGTCCAAAGCAGGCCACATCAGTTTGATTCATTGTTAATGTTCGGGTTTACGGAAAAACCTGGGCTGTCTACCTTACCAGGCTACCTTACCAGTCTACCTTGCCTGTCTAGGACGTCAGGCTACTGAACTCCCCCCATCCACAGCCTCACGAACAGCAAGACTTCCAAGCAGCTGCGCCCCCTGGCGGGATGAATCAGAATTGCACCCACTACTTTGGCACGTGCGTGTGCACAAACCTTTATAGGCCTGTGCAGCATGCAAGGAGTTAAACATAGCCTGACTAATCGCGCTCCTGGCGGCCGTCGACCCGAAGTGGGTGGGGGTCACACAGGCTATGTTAACACAGCAAGAAAACACAAATTTAGCACAAATAAATATACGCTATGTGCTAGTGACAATCATCGTCACTCGGCGTGGTTACCCAAGTGATGTCAATGTGTCAGGAATGGGGTGTTAGTGAAGAGATGTCACACGTTGTGCGATAGCGATTCAGCCGCTTCAGCGATTCTTCATTTGAACGTTATTTTCATAATTGTTGAAGGGGTAAAAATTTTTTAAACAAT